ACCCTGGTGGCGCAGTGGTTGAGAGTCCACCTGCCGATGCAGGGGACATGGGTTCGTGCCCTGGTCCGGGAAGATCCCACATGCCGTGGAGCGGCTAGGCCCGTGAGACACGGCCACTGAGCCTGCACATCCAGAGCCTGTGCTCCGCAACGGGAGAGGCCACAACAGTGAGAGGCCCGCGTACCGCAAAAAAAAAAAAAGAAAAATTAGAGAGTGAGATAGCAACAAGGTGATAATTATGTGTACTGACTGCAGAAGTTCTTGGTGGAATGAAAAATCAATGTGTATCCCTTGAATATCAGGGGAGGCTTCAAAGAGAAGGTGGACCTAGCACTAGGTCTTGAAGGATAAGCAGGACACATAACAAAAGGAAGTTGAAAAAACAGTCATTTAGAGAATTTATGGCAATTCAATCCATCATTGATATCTTTAACTTATTTTCCCCCACAAGGAGCCAAGAGGTAAATAGTCACTATAGTGGGTATTCACCTACCTCATCTGATTCTGATAGGAATTCCTGCATGATGTCACTCTCACCAATGACTCGTATTGAGCACACTATAGAAAACAAAGACAGAATCTGGCATAAGGCCCTAAAATCAAGAATATAAAGTCAAGAACATATCAAGGTTTAAGCATAAATCATCATTAGCAGGCAGTGCTGAGGTAGTATGCCATCCCTGACACGATATTTTACGGCACAACAAACATTTATATAAATATGAACCAGAACAGAGGAATAACAGGACGTACAAAGATGTAGCTTATTAAAAATATTAAACATAGACAAAGGAAGTTACCTGTAAAAGAGAAATAAAAGTTCAGTAAATCTAACTTTGCTGTCTTGTGTTAACTATTAATAAGCTAGACAATAGAACAAGGGTAAGGTCAATTAGGAATAAACACAAAATTAAAATACAAAGAAAAATATCTATTTGGCCTAGGAGCAGGCCAGTAAGAGAATCATAAGCATTTAAAGCCACTTTGGAAAAAAATGGGTAGGTAATCAAGTGTTAAGCTGAGCACATCTTCTCATCTTCTCACCTCACTAACTTTAACTTCAAAACAACTACAACTAAAAAAAAGAGAGAGAGAGAAAGGGAGAAGGAAGGAAAAGAAAACAGGCAGGTAGGTAGGTAATCATCTAAATCTAAGAGAGTTAATTTCCTAACATTCTCCTGAGGATAATAAATTACACTGCTGATTCTACTTCATTTTATTAAAAAAAATTGTACTCTTTCTCATTTCCCAAAGGCTTGTTAGGAGGCCATTCCATGTTAGAGAAAAGCTAAAAATAGATGAAGTTTAACTACCTTCTATGGGGGAAATGGTTTTTCTTCAGGGATAAAGCTCTCTACCAAAGTTTAAAAAAAATTCAACTAGGTCAATTAGTTCTTCTACAAGGACACAGAATTATTAAATACCACATAAGACCATTATTCTGTTAAATTAGTACTTTAAAGAAAAGCCTATTGCATGCCTAGCAAATTATGTAACTCTATAATGTAGCAAAACAAGGTCTCTTCTCTGAGCCACAAACTGAACCATCTTATTCAGGAGATCTGTGTCATTTCTCCCTGCCTTTCTAGACAAACGTTTCAGCATCCACATCCAAAGATTCCTAATGTATTGTTTGGAGGTCCTGAGATAACAAATAAGTTTTAATATTTCTACCTATAACCTACTTAGAAAAAGGGAACATTAGCTTACCTACAACTCATCAAACCTATCCATGGACACGTGTAAGAGGAATAAGGAATTTTCAAGTAGGACATGCCAGTGAACCAAGAATCACTTTCATAAAAATGTCTTAAATACTGCCCATCTAGTTCCCAAATCAATTTAGCATGTTGCTGAGTCTGTATACGTTTGCTGCGTGCAAAAATATAACCCTATAAATAAATAAAGGTCCTTAATGCATCAAAAAATAATTATGCATTTTTCTGTTGTTGTTAAGTGTTTGGCGAGTCAATAAAATAGGCTATTAATTGCTGTACTGAACATTTTACTCTTGGCTTCAAAGCTCAGATCATTCAACACCTAAGTCAAAAACCTGATTTACTTTCACTGTTGAGTTTCAGGAAACTTAGCTATGCAGTTTAGGAGCTGCAATATATACCTAGACCCTATTTTTACTCAAGATAGTAGAGTTTAATAGGCTGGCTTACCTTTTTCTAGATATTCTTCCAACCCCCGACGTCGGGCATCTAATTGCTGTTCTGATAAAGAGAATGGCCACTTCCCTGGAAGTCGGGGAAATGTAAAGTTGGCAAACTCTCTCTTCAGGTTCTGGTGTAGGATGGCAAATTCCCGGTACCGCTTAGAACACAACTGCCTCCCTGCCATGTAAACATTGTATACCTGGTGAGGGTGAAGAAGAAAAAAAAGCCTACTTACTGCAAATTAAATCACAGAATCACCTACAGTCAGGCTCAGATTGATACCGGTTAGGTATATTCTGATACATACTTAACAGAGAATATATGTTCAAGGTCACTGTAAAACAAGATTTACTTTTAATAAAGATGCCAGAAATTATATGTACAAAAGAAGGCTATTGCCTTCAGGGGGCCCATGATCTTATTTGTGATATTACAATTACCTCCAACACATTGTTTTAAATATCTTCAGAGACAATTACCAGATTTTAAGGGTAGATTTTATTTTCAGAAAGTTAAAGATCATTCAAAGCCAATGTGGTAAGTAAAGTGAATGAACAAGCAGGCAAATTTGGAGAGAGATGTAAAAAATTAGAATTGATTATAAAGCAATGTGACTGATATTTGTGTGTGAACCACACTTCCAAAGAAAAGATCTAAAATTGATGTAAGCAATAGTGAAATTTTTGTTACCAAATAGATCATTTTTGCAAAAACTCCTTTCCTGAAGTCAGATATCCCTAGTTTTGTTCTTCTCCCTTCCATCATTAAAACAGGGTTAACAAAAAGTTGAAGAATAAATGTACTCTAAGGACCTCCTCATATAAACAGTTAATAATCCTCATAAAGAAATAGGTAGAGGGACTTCCCTGGTGGTCCAGTGGGTAAGACTCCGAGCTCCCAATGCAGGGGCCCTGGATTCAATCCCTGGTCAGGGAACTAGAGCCTGCATGCATGCCACAACTAAGAGTTCACATGCCATGACTAAGAGTCCGCATGCCACAAATAAGGAGTCCGCACGCCACAACTAAGGAGTCCGCACACCATAACTAAGAAGCCCACATGCTGCAACTATGAGCCCACATGCCACAACTTACAGATCCTGCATGCCACAACTTAAAAGATCCCGCATGCCACAACAAAGATCATGTGCCACAACTAAGACCCAGCACAGCCTAAATAAATATTTAAAAAATAAAAAAGAAATAGGTAGAGATTTCTGTCTACTGTTCACAGATGCATGCCAAACTTCTAGAACAGGGCCTGGCACACAGTAGGCACTCAGTAAATATTTGATGAAAAAAATGAATGTATGTATGTGTAATTCTTAAATATGTGTCCTCATAAAGGAAAGTGGTGGGATGCATAATCCAAAAACATTAAATAATCTAAGTTACTTTGTATTCTCAGAACATATCAAATTATGCAGAGATGGGAAAATTAGCTCCAAATCACATTTACTGGCTTAGCAAAAATCATTCAAAAATTTAAATGTGCACAGAATAGGTCATCTACTCATGTAATCAAGACTTAGTCACTGAGCATAGAGAACAGACTGGTGGTTGCCAAGGGGGAGGGGGTTGGGGGAGGGATAGAGTGGGAGGTGGGGGTTAGCAGATGTAAGCTTTTATATACAGAATGGATGAACAACAAGGTCCTACTGTACAGCACAGAGAACTATATTCAATATCCTATGATAAACCATAATGGAAAACAATACAAAAAAAAGTATATTTATGTATAACTGAATCACTTTGCTGTGCAGCAGTAATTAGCACAATACGGTAAATCAACGATACTTCAAGTTAATAAATAAATCAATAAAGACTTAGTCACTGAGAATGTATACACCAAAGCCCTTCCTTCAATCTCAGGAAGAATCTTTTCCATGCTTCTGTGATTTAGGAAGTATAAATTAAATGCAACAATAATTTAAAAACTCCTCTCTCACAACTCTCCTCCTATGATCCCTCCCCTACTTGAAAGCAAAGCCTCTAACCACTATCAAATAGTGTCCAGGGATGAGTATGATCCTGATCAATGAGTTTGCTTCTTATAATTATCGCTCAAATTTATAACTGATTGTAATGAATCACACATATTACCAAGTATTCCTTCTTAAGTACAAAAGCATTAAAAGGAAAACAGTCTTCCCCTCAGACAAGACCACACATTCTCTTAAGGGCAGGCAGTCTCAAGAAAGTCTTATTCAGTCAACCTGGTCTTATATACTTACTTCTCAAACTAAATTTCTCAAGAACATCATCATTCCTTTGCTTAAAAAGCAAGTCTACAACCCTACTGGTGTTGAAAATCAGTCTGAGTTCCTCACACAAGGAAGGAAGGAAGGGAGGTAAAGCTAGCTTAGTGGCATTGGTGAATTAGGTATTCCCCAATGTCTTTTTCCAGGGAAGAGTAGACTAGGTCTTTGATAACACACAGAAAGACTATGACTGGATTTCCTCAATGATGATGACTTGAGTGATCGCAAGTCTAGAAAAACATTTCCTAGGGTAGAAAGAACCCTACAACTTGAGAGGCCTTTGTGACAATTTCAATCCTAAAATTTCAGTTTCTTATAAGGTGAGAAGAGTAATATCAAATAGCCTCTCACCACCCACCGCTTTCCACTTAAATGTGAAGTCAAAGGGAACAGAACTATAAATAGGATGCCTAACAGTTCAGTAATACTTTAATGCAGGTAGGAATGGCTTCCAAAAGAGCCAAACCATTGTTTTTTTTTAAATAGACCTTTATTGGAGGATAACTGCTTCATAATACTGTTAGTTTCTGTTGTACAACAAAGTGAATCAGTCATATGCATACATATATCCCCATATCCCCTCCCTCTTGAGCCTTCCTCCCATCCTCCCTATCCCACATTTCTAGGTCATCTCAAAGCACTGAACTGATCTCCCTGTGCTATGCTGCTGCTTCCCATAACTATTTTACATTCAGTAGTGTATATATGTCGATGCTAATCTCACTTTGCCCCAGCTTCCCCCTCCGCCCTGTGTCCTCAAGTCCATTCTCTATGTCTACATCTTTATTCCTGCCCTGTCACTAGGTTCAACAGTACCATTCTTTTATTTTTTTGAATTCCATATATATATATATATGTGTTAGCATACGGTATTTGTTTTTCTCTTTCTTACTTCACTCTGTATGAGACTCTAGGTCCATCCACCTCACTAAAAATAACTCAATTTCATTTCTTTTTATGGCTGAGTAATATTCCATTGTATATATATGCCACATCTTCTTTAACCATTCATCTGTCGATGGACATTTAGGTTGCTTCCATGTCCTGGCTATTATAAATAGTGCTGCAATGAACATTGTGATACATGTCTCTTTTTGAATTATGGTTTTCTCAGGCTAAAACACTGATGAAAGAAATCAAAGATGACACAAACAGATGGAGAAATATACCATGTTCTTGGATTGGAAGAATCAATATTGTGAAAATGACTGTACTACCCAAATCAACCTACAGATTCAATGCAATCCCTATCAAACTACCAATGGCATTCTTCACAGAATTAGAACAAAAAATTTTACAATTCGTATGGAAACACAAACTGTTTTTAAGTTAACTGTGCTTATTAGCAAATGAGAAACATACAAAAAGAGATCACAACAGACTACTTTGTTCTTCACTTGCCCTTAAAATTAACCAAGATCCATTAGCATCCATTTCCCTGGTTTGGACACACTCATTTGCAAAGAAAATGATTGACTCCCTGCTGAATCAACTCATGAATGTCCATGATCCATGAGAAACGACCATGGTCTCATTACAAATGAAAACATCCATCAAAAAATATATTCTCTGGACTTGAAGGAAGATTATCAAATAGGAACTAAAGATATACACAGGCTGACAGTGCTTCTAGGATTTTTCCATCTCAATGTAAACCCTCAGACTGGCTGGCTCATACATGGAATTAGATGATGTTTGTCAAGCTTGCGATAGCACGCTGAATTTAATGATCACTGGTCACTGTCTTCTCCAACTGACCATATCCTACAAAACTTCAAAAGTTAGAATATTCATACAGATGGGCAAGAGGCACATGAAAAGATGCTCAACATCACTAATTATTAGAGAAATGCAAATCAAAAGTACAATGAGAGTGTGGGGCTCGCTGTGGGGCCGAGGCAGGCCAGCAGTCAGGCGGGCGGGCGATGGCGGGGGCCGCAGTGGGCGGCAGAGGCGGAGGTGCCTAGGGGCCAGGGCACGGAGGGGCAGGGGGCCTCCGGCGGGGCTGCTCTCCCCCAGCCCCCGCTGGCTCCCCCCGGGCTGGGCTGCAGCCGCTCAGGGCCACCGTCCCTTTCCAGCTGCAGCAGCCGCAGCAGCACCGGGACGGGGGTGGCCGCGCAGCCAGCGTCCCGTGTTCCGTGGCCCCAGAAAAGCCAGTGTGTAGGCCTCAGCCACCCCAGGTCCGGCGTACATTCTCCCTGGACACCATCCTCAGCTCCTCCCTTCTGGGCCAGTGGCCACGAGATGCTGATGGGGCCTTCACCTGCTGTACCAATAACAAGGCCACCCAGACCCCCCTGCCCTGGCCACAGCTTGAAGGTGAGCGGGCCAGCTCGTGTACACACAAGCACTCAGCGTCCTGGGGCAGCACAGACCACCGAAACGAGATTACCAAGTTGAAGCAACAGCTGCAGAGGACAAAGCTTAGCCGCAGTGGGAAAGAGAAGGAGCGGGCATCCCCCCTCCAAGGGGACCATGCTGTGCGGGGAGCACTGAGGGCGTCCCCTCCCAGCTTCCCCTCAGGGTCCTCTGTCCTGCGACTGAGCCCCTGCCTGCACCGGAGCCTGGAAGGGCTCAACCAAGAGCTGCAGGAGGTGTTTGTGAAAGAGCAGGGTGAGGAGGAGCTGCTGCGGATCCTTGAAATCCCTGACGGACACCGAGCCCCAGCTCCCCTCCAGAGCGGCAGCTGTGATCATCCCCTCCTCCTCCTGGAGCCTGGAAACCTTGCCAGCTCTCCCTCCATGCCCCTGGCAGCCCCCCAGCCTTCTGGCCAGACTGGCCGTGAGGAACACCAGGGTGCAGCCGAGGAGCTGACGTCCATCCCCAGTGACAAAGCTTCCCCTCCAGGCCACCCAGCCTTCCTTGAAGAGGGCAGCCCATCTCCAGTCCTTGCCTTTGCCGCCTCCCCTCGGTCCAATCACAGCTACATCTTCAAATGGGAACCCCCGTAAGGCTGTGAGAAACTGCGGGTGTTTGAAGAGGCCACGTCCCCAGGTCCTGACCTGGCCTTCCTGACTTCCTGTCCTGACAAGAACAAAGTCCATTTCAACCCAACCGGCTCGGCTTTCTGCCCCGTCAGCTTGATGAAGCCCCTCTTCCCCAGCATGGGCTTCATCTTCCGTAACTGCCCCTCAAGCCCGGGGTCCCCCCTTCCCCCGGCCAGCCCCAGGCCACCGCCTCGGAAGGATCCAGAGGCCCCCAAGGCCTCCTCGCTGCCATTCGAGCCTTGGCAGTGCCCCCCACCGTCAGAAGAGCCTGCGCTTTTCCAGAGCTCCCTGGTGGTCTGAGGGCCCCACCCCCACTTCACCATGGAGACCAGTGCCTTGGTGGCAGGCCCCTCCCGAGCTCCCCTGAGATGGGGGATGAAGGAGCCCTTCCCTCCTGGCCTTTGAGCACTTTCATTTATTGTGTCAAAGCCCTGGGTCCTCTTTCCGATGGACCCCTGCCCCTTCGAATGTGAGGGGACCTGCCTCCTCCACTAGAAGCTGGGCAGCTCACAAGTCACACCCGTGTTCTTGTCACCCCTCTCACTTGGTGGAAAACTCAACCAGAAGGTCTTGGGTCCCCCACCCCTGGGTGTGAGTCCGAAGGACAGTGTATGGGGCCCTTGTCTTTATCATGGAGCAAGCTGGCCATGATTAAAGGAGAGGGGACACCACAGATTTCCTTACCTCTCCTCCCCAGACACAGATGAGGAGACCCGAATAGATTCCCCGATCCTCTCAGTCCCATCCCCCTACCTCCCTCTCATTGGAGGAGCTGACCAAAGCAGCTCGAAAGGGCCATAACACTTGACCAATCCAGCTGCTGGCAGAGGGGGAACCAAGCGTTTTTCTAAGTGGCATTTTCATCTCGCTTTCACCCTAAGATTGTCTTAAGCAGCAGCCCAGCCTGCCCAGCCCCAGGTGGGTAGTAGGGGAGAGGGAGAACTGGCATTCCTCCGGGTGGCAAGTGGTGACTCTCCACCCTCCACCTGCCCCAGGACTGGGTTGGATTAGAAAAATGCCTATTTTTCTTGTATCGATGTAGAAACTCTATTTTCTCCCAAAGACACTATTTTTGCAGCTGTTTGAAGTCTGTATATTTTCCATACTGCAGAGCTTACACAAAATCGAAGAAGAATGTTAATGTTCAAGTTTTATTATCCTGTGTTTAGAAGTTGTGTTTTTTTGTTTGTTTTTTGCAGATCTTGGTGTTAATAGACCAAATAAATAAGTATTCCCGGGGAAAAAAAAAAAACTACAATGAGGTATCACCTCATGCCAGTCAGAATGGCTATCATCAAAAAATCTAGAAACAATAAATGCTGGAAAGGCTGTGGTGAAAAGGGAACCCTCCTGCACTGTTGGTAGGAATGTAAATTGATACAACCACTATGGAAAACAGTATGGAGGTTCCTTAAAAAAATAAAAATAGAACTACCATATGATCCAGCAATCCCACTACTGGACATATACCCAGAGAAAACCATAATTCAAAAAGAGACATGTACCACAATGTTCACTGCGGCACTATTTACAATAGCCAGGACATGGAAGCAACCTAAATGTCCATCGACAGATGAATGGATAAAGAAGATGTGGCACATATATACAATGGAATATTACTTAGCCATAAAAAGAAACAAAATTGAGTTATTTGTAGTGAGGTGGATGGACCCAGAGTCTGTCATACAGAGTGAAGTAAGTCAGAAAGAGAAAAACAAATACCGTATTCTAACACATATATATGGAATCTAAAAAAAAAAAAAAAAAGGTACTGATGAACCTAGTTGCAGGGCAGGAATAAAGATGTAGACATAGAGAATGGACTTGAGGACACAGGGTGGGAGGGGGAAGCTGGGGCGCAGTGAGATTAGCATCAACATATATACACTACCAAATGTAAAACAGTTATGGGAAGCAGCAGCATAGCACAGGGAGATCAGCTCGGTGATTTGCGATGACCTAGAAGGGTGGGATAGGGAGGATGGGAGGGAGGCTCAAGAGGGAGGGCATATGGGGACATATGTATGCATATGGCTGATTCACTTTGGTGTGCAACAGAAACTAACACAGTATTGTGAAGTAATTATACTCCAATAAAGATCTATTAAAAAAAAAGTGAGAATGTTCAGATTGCAAAGCCAGTTTCCAAGGGTAACAAGTTACAGCCCTCCTGAGATACTCTTTGCTGAGTTAGACCCCAATAAGGGAAAAGGAATGAATTACGAGTGGGCAAAGTGTACAACTTATCTGATCAGTGATCTAATTTTGTCTCTCTGGATTCTGCAAGTCAAAGTTTCAAACTTCAGCTTTGAAATAATTTCCAAATTTCACAATATGTAAATGTTGAAAATCCACGCCATGCCATTTCTCTCTTTATCCTCATGAATTAATTCTATGGAATGAATGCCAGAAGACAGTAACTGATAAATTCTCACAATAGCACAAACCACTGAAGGGAAAGCAATTCTAGTAATATCTGGGCTCTGTATTCAATAGCAAAACCCAAAATTCCAGATATCAGAGATCTTTATTTTGTTGCTTCCTTAATCCCCACCTACAGATTTCTTAAGGCTTTTAAATGGTAACATCTCATTCTATGTAGGATCTGAATATTAAAATGTTCTCACTTTCTCAAACCTCTAGTAACCAACAGGAATTGTGCTACTGAACACACAGAAGAGACTCTCCTTATACAATGCAAAAGTGATTAGAAAAAAAGAATGACAATTTGGCCATGATAACATCACCTAAGTTCTGCTTACAAATGTCAAACAGACCCTGATCTAGTCCATGCTACTGATCTGAATGAATCTTCAATGTACATTATGATCAACAAATTGTTTCCAATGCTACCTTGCCATTTAATCTTGTTTTTAGCTGAAAAGTCATCTTCAAAAGGACACATTATTTGCTATTCATAAGCTGCTTATAATAGCAAAAGGAGATACAGCACTCTTAGCTGATTTCTGGGTGAAAGGTGTGAGATCCTTAACTAAGGCATTCTTCCCAAATACTGAAGTATTTAGGCTTCTTCTTGGAAAGAAAAAAAGCAAAAGGAAACAACATGATCCTAAAGAACTAAGGTTTAAAAAAAAAAAAAAAAAGTTCAGGTATTCTCAAAAAAAAAAAAAACAAAAAAACAAAAAACTAAGGTTTAGTGTGTGTGTGTGTGTGTGTGTGTTTTCCCTAATGTGGGTCATAAATGGTATCTATTTTCTTTATTTGGACCTCAGGTGTACAGAACTGGATTAATCACAATCCTTGGTTCATAACACAGTCTCATTTTGGCAAACTCTTTGTTTGGATATTTAATTTGGTTATTTTTATTTTACTTTTATTTTTTTGACCATGCCACACATCATGTGGGATCTTAGTTCCCCAACCAGGGATTGAACCTGTGCCACCTACAGTGGAAGCGCAGAGTCTTAACCACTGGACCACCACGAAAGTCCCAATTTAGTTATTTTTAACATTGTGAAAAACAAACTAAAAGCTAAGACCTTGACAAAAACATTTCTAACCATATAGTCTCTGCCTCCTTCACCCTATCTCCCTGTTTCTCTAACTCCCAAAATTATTATGCTCAACCATGTTTCATTATTCCCTTGTTTTTCTTTTTATAGTTTTTTTCCTGCATTTATATGTAATCCTTATATTTTTTATTTTAATTTTTGAAGGGTATTTTAGTTTTATGAAAAGGCTATCATGCAGAATGAGACCTTTTGGGACTTATTTTTTCACTTAGTCTCATGCACAACGTTATATATCTTTGTTGTTTATTCTGTTGTATACAACACTTTGTTGTTTCGCTTTTCAAAAATCTGTTCTGTTGATGGGTATTCAGGTTGTTTCTGGGTTTTACTACTTCTTAGTTTTGGCTATTATGAACAATGCTGCTATGAACATTTGTGCATATGTCCCCTGTAGTACATATATAAGAGATTCTCCTGGGTATACCCTACAAGAGGAACTGCAGAGTTATAAGGTATGTGAATATTCAACATAAGGAGATAACGCCAAACTGTAAGCTAAAGCAGTTACATCAATTTTTACTCCTTTCAGTAATAATATAAAAAGATCCTCTTAATTTTTGCCAGTGGAATGGGTATGAAAAGATTTCTCACTATGGTCCTAATTTACATTTCCATGATTAGTAATGATGCTGATCATCACCTCTCCATATATTTATCGGCCAGCTGCCCAGGGATCCAGCCCCACCTACCAGTGGGTCAATATCAACTCTGGGAAACCCTGGGCCCCACAGCCAGCGAAGTCAGGAACTGGCCCCACTCATCAGCAGGCTGACACCAGCCCCAGAACCTTCCCAGGACATGGCCCCACCCACCAGTCACTGGCAACTTCTGCACTAGGCAAGGCCTGGCAACCAACCTGATCAAGGGCCACCCATGCTTACCAAGGCACCCATAGTAGTCAGCCTGACACAACAGAAGGGCCCATGCAGCCCACATAGATGGCACCCCTAAAGCATAGAGGTCTGGTGACCAGAGGGGAGTATGCTGCTGGCCCATAGGCATTTCCTACATAAGGCCACTTCTCCACGATCAGGAAACATACCAACCTACCAAATACATAGAAATAAGAACACAGAATTTGGCAAAATGAGGCGATAGAGGAATACGTTCCAAACAAAGAAACAAGACAAAACCCTAGAAGAAGAACTAAGTGAAATGGAGATAAGCAATTTATGCAACAGAGTTCAAGGTAATGATCATAAAAATGTTCAAAGAACTTTGGAGAAGACTGGATGAACACAGTAAGAAGTTAGAAGTTTTTAGCAAAGAGTTAGAAAATATAAAGAAGAACCAAACCAAGATGAAAAATACAATAACTAAAATTAAAAATACACTAGAAGGATTCAACAGGAGATTAGATGATACAGAGGAATGGATCAGAAAACTGGAAGACAGAGTGGAGGAAATCACTCAAGCTGAACAGAAAAAAGGGCAAATAATTTTTAAAAATGAGGACAGTTTAAGACACCTCTAGGACAACATCAAGCTTATAGCATTCACATAACAGGGGTCCCAGAAGGAGAAGAGAGAGAAAAAGGTGCAGAGAACGTATTAGAAGACATAATAGCTAAAAACTTCCCTAACTTGGGAAAGAAAGCAGACATCCATATCCAGGAAGCACAGAGTCCCAAACAAGATCAACCCAAAGAGGACCACACCAAGACACATTGTAATTAAAATAGCCAAAATTAAAGATAAAGAAGGAATATTAAAAGCAGCAAGGGAAAAGCAACTAGTTATGCACAAGGGAACTCCCATAAGGCTATCAGTTGACTTTTCAGCAGAAACTCTGCAGGCCAGAAGGGAGTGGCACAATATATTTACAGTGATGAAAAGAAAAAACCTACAACCAAGAATACTCTACCTGGCAAATTATTC